TGTGTGTGTGTGTGTGTGTGTGTGTGTGAAGTCCAGTGAACTTACAGAGCAGAAGTGTAAACACAGGTCTAGACTATTGCAGGGGGTGTTAATGTTAAGTAGGTTTGATAACAGCACAAAGCAGATCAGTCTTTCGCAACACAACCACTGAAACGTTTTTATAAACGGAAACAAACTCATCTTCCTTTAAATGGTCAATCTACCAGTGAAATGAAAGGTTAAATGCAGCCAATCGAATGTTTAACGGGCCGTATGAAAGTCTAAGGTGGAGTAGGACACTGTCTATTTTAGGTTTCCTTGTCAAACAGTAAAGTACATGATGTTTGTGAACGTAAGCGACTCATTTGAGCCTCAACAAAAGCACCCAATGAGCTGCTGCGGCGGTCAACACGCTTTCACATTTAACACAAAGGCACAAAGTTTGTTTAGGCATCGGGTTTGATAGCAAACGGCAGACGAGAGGTCAGCGAGCGCCTCATTACCTCACGGTGTCTGGAAACTAAACCACACGTGCAAAAGAACATTGCAAGAAAGGACATTGCTTTTATATTTTATTCTATTTACAGCACATTTAAAAAACTCCTCCGTGTCAAGCAGCGGCAGATATAAAGTGCTCGACGCCCGCAGAAAGTCCAGCTGGAAAAACGCACCCAAACCTGCGCAGCTCTTGAAACGCTCGAGTCCCGCAGGTCAGCCAGCCGTCTGGACGTCCCACGTCCCAGCAGACACACAGATAATCAAGCCCATGTACGCCTGCACTCACTCAGCAAACACATGATCACCGACACGCTGCTTTTTATGCTTTAATAAAAGAGACGGTGCATAGGAGCGTACAGTTCTCTCCAGATCTCAGTGGGACATTTCAGAAGGAGGAAAGCGACGTAAACCGGGCTAAACGCGAGAATACAGTGTACACAACTTCCTGAAAGCATCGTTTAATCGAAATCTCCATCACAAAAATTTAAAATCACTTCAAAAGCGATGGGTTGGCTCCTCCGAGAGTCTGCAAACTCGAGTTAGAGTTCACAGCAGGCCACCAAGGTATGGTTAAAGTGCTTCTCTTAACGTGACACATTAAATAATTAAAGCAAAACATCACATAATCAAGAGTGAAAACGAGGATGGAGAGACATACGAGAGATATATTTCTGGGAGAGGACAGAGAAAGTGAAGCGACTGACATACTGACATACTGCATGGTGTAAGACCTACATGATGCAAAAAGGAATTTCACATTTTCATAATCTGAAGAAACAGACAAAGTAAGACTTGTCGTTTTGTATTATAATACGGATATTTGTCAGTCCGTTCGGATCAGATCCAAAACGGACGTAAGAGTCATAAGAAACAGCAGCAGTGTGATCTTACAGGAGGCCAGTCACCAGTCAAGTGTTTTTTTTCGTGAATAAATACATTCGGATTTAGTGTCAAGCTACTTCTTCTAATATCATGTACGTCTTAAAAAACAAACAAACAAAAGATGGAGAGACAAACGGGGGAATTGTTCCCACATTCTCCTCGTGGCCCCTCAAACACAGTCCGCTCATTGCATTTTCTTCCAACAGCCACATGTGGAGGGAAATAAAGCACCTTCCCTCATGATATCCGTGGCAAATGAAGACGCTCTGGGGACATCACCACGTCCTGGGTGCGCCTGCAAAACCCTGAATGACAGCCAGTCCACTACCATCCTCGTCCTCTGCGGAGAGAAAACAAACAGATACATGAATAGACAGAACAGTATTCAGTATCGATAAAAAAAATGCAATTAATTGCATTATTTAAACCCAGTAATTGCATGCACTGCGCATTGATATGCTTATTTGAGTATGATGTCAACATGCTAAAATCAAACCACTGGGAGTTTGTGGTCAAGCATTTGAAGTAAAGAGCTTGCAATGTATTTTTTTGTGAATGGTGATGCAAAAAAAATGCATGCATAAAAATGCACAAATGATGCATAAAATGCATGCATAAGCACAAGGATTCATAATAGTGCATGCATGTAAGAATGCACAAATTACACGATAACGCATGCACAAAAATGCACTAATGACGCATATAAAAATGCATGCATAAAAATGCACAAATTATGCATAACTATGTACTGAAGTTTGGATCTGCAGATATGTAGTCCTGCAAAGCACAGTCTAGATGTGACTAAATATGGCTGGATGGAATGGAAATTCAGGAGTGCAAACACTGGCAGTGGGAGCTCCGGCTTGTGAACTTGAGCCGATATTGAACCAAGACAGCATCTGATCTTCGATAAACATGAGGTGACCTAGCAATCTACAAAGAAACTGAAGCCATGGGAACCAACCGGGAAGTTAAAGACGTTTCTATGCTCAACGAAACAAATCAAGCCTACTGTTTTCAATAACGTTTGGAGCTCATGAAATGTAAAGAAAATGCACACCTAAAAACACAAGTGATGTA